TCAGATTTCTCATCTTTCTTTAAGTCTGCTTTTGGTCCTTTGTATTCGTGTGTGTACAGAGGCCTGAAGGAATCAATGAAGCCCACGTCGGCAGTCAGATTTGGCAAGAACCAAAAGTGGTGCCTTCCTCCAGTTATGAGCCAGATGATAAGAAACAGAATGCAACGAGCTGTAGGAAAAAGATTTCTCTAATTGAATAAGTCAAGCATTAACTCAGTAGAGAGTATCATTCACTTTTATCAGCACATTTCATTTTATGTTAAATATGAAAATTTAAATCCTGACAAGTTTAGCAGCTATGACAAAATCTCTTAAGCAGGGCATTCTGCTTTGAACTTGAGGTGTAATGCTATATTACTATTCTTAAAAACCAAACCAAGCCAAACCTCAGCACTACATATGCAGAAAAAAGCTGGAAGTAGAGCTCAAGTAGTAGGGCGCTAGCCTTGAGCTGAAGAGCTGAGGAACAGTGCCCAGGCCCAGAGTTCAAGCCCCACAACCAACAAAAAAGCCTCCCCCCGCAAAAAAATAGAGAGATTTGGATTTTTAAATGGGTAGCAATAAATTATCACGTCTCAATAGTTAATGTTTTCTATTAACTCACCAATTATATACATGCAGCTCAGTGATGTTTTTCTTCTTTTTTAAAGGTCGTAATGATCATATCAACTCCAAAAATCAATTATGCAGATTTTCTGATTCTATTTTGTTTCCTTTATAATTATATATAACTGATTTCAAAGAAAGCATTAAAAAAGTTCATCTATGCTTCTTTTATTATTTTGCTTCAGGTATATAAAATGACTGTAACTGCCTTAATTTATATATTAGCATTAATATTTATAAAGCTGCATAAGTTGTGGCAAAAAAAAGAAAAGGCCAATGTGTCTGAAATTATGATTTAAGAATAAATTCCAAGCCGGGTGCTGGTGGCTCATGCCTGTAATCCTAGCTACTCAGGAGGCTGAGATCTGAGGATTGCAGTTCAAAGCCGCCTGGGCAAAAGGCTGTGAAACTTTTATTTCCAATATACCACCAGAAAACTGGAAGTGGTGCTGTGGCTCAAATGGTAGAGCACTAGCCTTGAGTTGAAGAGCTGAGGGACAGTGCCTACACCCAAAGTTCAAGCCCCATGACCACCACCACCAACAACAAAAAGAATAAATTTCTCTCATAAAAAGAGAGAAAACAAACAACTTTAAAGGAGGATACACATTTTTTCCTCCAAGTATAATTATACTGCTATGATAGTCCTTGCAGGGTTGTAAGATAGATGATTCATAGTATGACATTTTTTATCAAATGGAAAAAAAAATATAGAAATAGCATAAATAAAATCTAATTTCGTACCACATATAAACTGAAATTTAACATACTGCACAGTTTTTTCTCCATGTGGCATTAGGTTACCAAAAGCACAAAAGGAAGAATCTTAGATAAACTATGTGCTGTCATACCATTGCTACACTAAAAACGACACAATTAAAGCTACTTAGGAGGCTGAGATCTGAGGATTGTGGTTTGAAGCCAACCAACATGGGAAATCTGTGAGACTCATCTCTTATCTCTAAGTCAGAAGTGGAGCTGTGGCTCAAGTAGAACAGTGCTACCCTTATGCACAAAAGCTCAATTCTAGCCCCAGGATTAGAAAAAAAAGGGTGAGGGTTGTAATGCTAAGAATGCATATTTAAAATAACACCAAATATAATTTTGAACAATTGTACTTCATGCAATAAAAAATTCAAGTGGTATATATCAAATATTTGAAAAAGTATTTGTAACTCTATTTTCTAACAAAATAAACATAAAATGTTGGGTTTTTAAGAGTATTTAATTTATAATACAAATTTAAATCCATAGCAACCTTGAAAAATTGCAAAAAATACTAAAAAAAAAAAGGTTTTGTTTTTTGTCAGTTGTAGGGCTTGAACTCAGGGTCTGGGTGCTGTCCCTAAGCCTCTTTGTACTCAATATTAGTGCTCTACCACTTCAGCCACAGCTCCACTTCCAGTTTTTGAGTGGTTAACTGATGATATTTCACCAGGACTTTTCTGCCCGGGCTGGCTTCAAACGACATCCTCAGATCTCAGCCTTGTGAGTAGCTAGGATTACAATATGAGTCACTGGCCTCAGGTATGAGGCACCCAGCTAGAAATGGCATTTTAAAGAACAAAATAACCTAGTAATAATAATGGTTACCGGCTTAATTATAGGATAAGCAAATGAACAAATCTATTCAGTAGAGCTAAAATTTACTGAAAAATTTGCAGCAGTTTTTATTTTGTTTTTTGTTTTTTTTTTTGGTCTGGTCACGGGACCTGAACTCTGGGCCTGGGCGCTGTCCCTCAGCTCTTCAGCTCAAGGGTAGCGCTCTACCACTTGAGCCACAGCACCACTTCCTGCTTTTTTCTTTTTGCTTATGTGGTGCTGAGGAATCGAACCCAGGGCCTCATGAATGCAAGGCAAGCACTCTACCACTGAGCCACCTTCCCAGCACCTTGAAGCAGTTTTTAAATTTTATTGGTTTGAGTAAGAATCAATTATATCTAATGTCAGATTGAAGTTTATTACTTTACTATTTCATTACACCAACACTCATTACCTGCACAACAGGCTTAGATATTATTTTGTGAAATACAGCTGTTGCAGCAGGGATCTTTTGTCAAGGTGACTAAGCTAGATGAAAGAGAAGTGAGAAGCCTCATTAAGAGATCAGAGAGGCTGGGCGCTGGTGGCTCATGCCTGTAATTCTAGCTACTCAGGAGGCTGAGATCTGAGGATCACAGTTCAAAGCCAACCCAGGCAGGAAAGTTCATGATACTCTTATCTCCAATTAATCACCAGAAAACTGGAAGTGGTGCTGTGGCTCAAGTGGTAGAGCTCTTGAACCTAAGAGTTCAGTCCCAGTGCCCAGGCCCAGAATTCAAACCCCACGACCACACCCCCCCCAAAAAAAAAAATCATAGACATATGACTGACTGAAGCACTGGATGAACTGGTGAGTTCAAGGCTGGTGGCACATCAGGACATTTTAATGGCCAGAAGGAAGGGATATATAACATTGCTTTGGGCTATAGCAGCAATGCTTTTTAATAATAAAAATCTATTTTATATATCATAGCACCTGGGAATAAAATGCACTCAGTTCAGAAAAACCTTGGCCAAATTATGTCTTCTATTAGGTCAACAATGTGAGTACTGTTTTTTTCTTTTATAAAGAAGTATTCTTAGATGGGTACTGGAGGCTCATGCCTGTAAACCAAGTCACTTAGAAAGCTAAGGTCCACAGGATAACAGTTTGAGGTCAGCGTAGGAAGTCTAAGAGACTTCATTTCTAAAATAACCAGGAAAAAGCAAGGCTTGAGGTGTGGTTCAAGTGGTAGAATGCAAGCTGTAGCAAGCAAGCATAAGCTCTGAGTTTAAACACCCAGCCAGGTATTGGCAAAACATAATCACAAAGCTTGGTGAAAAAAATTAATCTGTCATTGAGGAAAATAGCTAGAACTTTCTATTACATACCAACATAAACTCCAGGCTGTAATCCTTCTGCTTGTGCTTCCCTGTGTCACTATATCAAGTCATTGTGTTTCCAACTATGACATTGTGTTTCCCATAGTTGGAAACACATGCCCAGCCATTGAATGAGATAGACTCTTGCAAAATTGCCTGGGACGGCTCAAAATTCAATCACTTAGTTTCTGCCTAAGTATGGAGAATTACAAGCTTGAATTACCAACCCCAGTCTCCTGTTTGATTTTTAAACATTTATATATGTACTGTACCTAGAATTCACCTGAGTGAAAATTATTTATTTTTTTCCCCAAAGTGGCAAATTGTTTAGAACCATGCACAGAATTTAAATATTTAATACAACTTGCATTTGCCTTAAGCTAAATATAAAACAGGCTTATTTAAAGTATCATATCTAATAAATGATTTACCACTGAAAAATTATTAAATCCATGTTGCAGCTAATTTAAATTTTATTTTTTTAGTTATGTGGTACTGAGGAATAGAACCCAGGGCCTTTTGCATGCTAGGCAAGCATTCTACCACTATGCCACATTCCCAGGCCTTCTGCAACTAATTTTTAAAATGCATTTCTTTGCTGATTAACAGAATAATGGCTGGATGTCAATGGCTCATGCTGGAGTATTAGCTACATAGGAGGCTGAAATCTGGTGCATTGTGTTCAAAGCCCTGGCAGAAAAGTCATTAGACTTTTGAAAAAAATAGGAAAAATAACAAAAAATAGGGCTGGAGATGTGGATCAAATGATAATGTGCCAGTTGAACAAGTGAGAGGATCAGGTCTGGGACAGGGGTGGTAATATAATAATGTATATTTCAAAGTAACTTCGGCTAATTTCTAATGTCTCACCATAAAAATGATAGGTAAGCAAAGTGATGTGTACATTTACAGTTTTCAAGTTCCACATTGTGTACATGAAAACATTATATTCTACTCTATGAAGTATAATATTCCAATTTGTCAACCACATACATGAAGTAATTTTTAAAAAGCCATATGGTAAACCTTTTTTTCAGAATAGACTCACAAAGTAGGATCATACATCTCATTTTTTTATTTGCTTCCATTAATTTTGTTACTAAGCTTTCTTGAAGCTGCGGTTACTGTCCAACTGCTTAACACTTACCTTACTTAGGTCAGTATTACTAGTAATAAATATTACTTACCAACAGCAAGAAGAAGAATGCTGGCTACAAAACAGCCTGCACCCACACTGAGGTAATAAACACCTACTCTCATTTCTGCTGGCCAAAGAGGAAAGAGGGTGGCTGCTATTACTGCAATCACTGAAAGAAAAAACAGGTTAGAGATGACTTTTAGAATAAAAATTTAAATAGCTGGTTGCAGTAACATTGAACACATTCATGGGGGAAAAACTATGAAACATCATATTGTCTCTTGTGTAAGTAAACAATGATCAATTAATTTCCTATTACTTGACCTAACATTTTATATTGTTCTTAAACTAGGTTAGGATTTCTAATCTAAATTACATTTAATTAGAAAAATATGTCTAGACATTCAAAACCACCCCTTAACTTACCAACTCTTAACATTTTCAAGCCATGACTATATTATTTTTAAACATTAGCCTGTGTACTAAGTTGGGGAACTTAAAACAACATCCTCCTCTGGAAAAAAATGACTCCAAATACCCACCCTGGAGATAAGATTGTGGGTGGATCCTTGACACCCACAGAATAAAACGAGCTGAGCTCACCAAGAGATGCTAATACAGGTTTGCTCTGGCAGCCAGGGAAACTGGAAGTGTGATCACATGAAGGAATTGCTAAGAAATTAGAAGCTTAATTATTAGGTCTTTAGAAATAAGAGGATTCAAATTTTAGCTCCATCATACATTAAGTAATCCTGGGCAAGCCACTTAACCCTTTGAGACTAAGTTATCTAAGTGCCTGTCCCTATTTCATAAATGTTGGGAGGAGAGAGGAGACAGTCCATGGCAAGTATTTGGCATAATAGTATATTATAAGTAATCAACAGCCATTAGTTAACTATTCAAATTTAACAGTTCCAAATCTTCCTGGGCTATTTGGAATGGAATCCTATCATACTGACCGAACTAATTTTAAGTAATATCTACCTTTCCTACTTGTTAAATTGGGTTTTTTCCCCCCACCCATACCTGAAAGATACATTCATGTTTAAAAAGCAAATTAAAAAACAACACAAAAGATAGGCAAGATGGTGCATACTTGTAATTCCAGTTCTTTGGGGGTGGAAGGAAAAAAAGGTAACTCAAGACCCTTCTCAAAAATAAAAACTCTTGGGCACAGCTAGTATAATCCCAGCTATTTGGGGACTACAGACCGAAAAGACTGTGATTATAGGGTAGACCAACTAAAAATTTAGTGAGACCCACATCTCAACAAACAAGATCAGTATAGTGGGAGGCACAGGTAAGAGAAGTACTGAAGTCTGAGCCCAGCCTAAGGTAAAAAAGGGCTGGAACATGGCTCAAATGGCAGAGTTCAAACTCTAATATGGCCAAAAGGGAGGGGGGGGGGAAATCAATGAACAAAAGGGTCTGGGGAAGCCAAGCACAGGTGGCTTATACCTATATTCCTAACTTCTCAGGAGGCTGAGATCTGAGGACTGCTGTTTGAAGGCAGCCTGGACAGGAAAATCATGAGACTCTTATCTCCAATTAACCACTACAAGCTGGAAGTAGAGCTATGGCTCAAGTGGTAGAGCCCCAGTATCAAGTGAAGAAAGCCAAGAAGCAGTGCCCAGGCCCTAAATTCAAGCCCCCAGTACTGGCACAAAAAAAGAAAAAAGCAAAGAAAAAAAAGCTCAGTGAGGTATAGGCTCAAGTGGTAGCACAACTGCCTAGCCTGTGCAAGGCTTTATTTAATCTTCAGTATACCAATTAAGACAACAGCAATCCAAAAGGTATTAAGCTTTCATCTAATTCATCCATTCTCCAGAAGTAAATACTATTAAACTTCTATTCCCAGGGACTGCCTAGCTATGATTAAAACTATCTACATATAATTTCTTCTCTAAATAAACATGTAATTTTCACTTGTGCAATTACTTTTATTCTTTAACATAGCCTAGGTTATCTTGCTACCAGAACATCCTAATTCATTAAAAGATGCATAGTATTCGATTATAATTTGTTTCACCTTTCTATTAAGGAATCTGAATTCTTTTCAGTTTTAATCTATCAGAGGTACAAATAATCTAATATTGCAGATATCTTGTAAACATACATTTGTACATGTACGGTTCTATAATAGAGCAATTCTGGACTGATAATGTAGCTCACTGGTACAGTACTTGTCTAGTATGCACATGGCTGTTTCAGATCCCCAGCATCACAAAACAAAAACAGCAAAAAGACTAATAGAATTGCTTTAAATGGAATGGACGTGGCAAAAGAACTAGGAATTTAAAATTTGAAGGATATTTGCTAGATTAGCTCTTAAATGCAATCTGAAAAATTTAGATTAAAAGAGATTACATGTCAATATACATACACTGCACTATACATACAAAATGGGATAAATATGGGGATAAATTCCTAGAAGCAGAAATGCTGGATATATGCACTTGGTATTTCCAAGATATTGCTAAACTGCCTGCTCTAAAAGCTAACTAATGGATATACCCATGAAATACTGGAATGATTTTTCCTTGCTGCTCTTCTAAGTACAATTAAGCATCATCCATGATGACTGGATTTTATTTTTTTGTCAATGTGCTACCTTTGCCACTTTTCTATCAGGCTAAACTCATAGATCTTTGTATTTATATTTTTCTTAATTTGTCATTTATCTTCTGGGTTTATTTATACTCTTTTGTAACAGTAACAATTTTATGCTAAATTTATAAGTATTTTCCTTTGTGGTGCTCTATTTTGTTTTCTAAAAGTTAGATTGTATTTTAAGTTTACTTACATATTGCTACTTACCAAGAATTAATCCCATGACAAATGTTTTAATGTGAACTGGGTCATAGATCCACACATAAACCTAGAAGAACCAAGAACCTCAGTGCTTAAAAGTTAAAAGGCCACTTTAGAAAGTTAAGTTGAATTCTATACCATAGGTTCTCTAAAGCAGTCACCACCCCTTAACATATGACAACTACTTTCCAAGTAAGGTAAACAAATTCCAAAGACCTTCTTTCAGTACTAGTGGTTCTTTTGGCATCCATTTAGCTAGGAAATTATTATTAAGAAAACTAAAAATTCTTTAATGTACTTAAGTAAATGTGTATGTACTTACATGCATTCAACAGCTTGTTAATATGTGCAAACCAATGTTTATTCAACCTAATGCCATCATTATTTTTTGTCCCTAATGTAATGGTGAATCAATCTGGCCTAAGAACACAGTCAAGACTGATTCCAGCCAGGCCTTGTTGCAGACCCAGAAGTGCTCAATTCCACCATGTTCTCTCCTACTGACAATACACAAGGAACCATTACTAGACTATCATAGATGACTAGTTTTCACTGCCCACTCCTCTATGGAGGGTTTGAAACTTGTAAGTAGGAAGCAATGTTGCAAAGCTTGATTTACTTTTAGTAGGCTATTTTACAGGTTTCTTATTACATACTTTTTACTACATCACAACAGAATTTGTTATCATGTAGGTTACTATGTTTACCATGCATCCATAAAACTTAGTTATGTTTTTTTTGTTTCTGTAAGTAGCAGTATTCTTCCATTTCTTAGTTCTATTTTAACTGGGACTTTATTGACTTTCTGGCTCACTTCTAACAACCAGGAGGGTTCCACTTTAGTCCTGGGAATCAGAACCACACATATTACTTCTATTCATTACTACTCTAAAACACATTTATGTAAAGACATTTTTCCATGGTTAGAAGTTATGGAATGTGGTCAGGTGCCGGTGGCTATTGCCTATAATCCTAGCAACTCTGGAGACTGAGATCTAAGGATCTTGGTTCCAAGCCAGCTGGGCAGTAAAGTCTATGATACTCTTATTTTCAATTACCCATCAAAAAGTAGGAAGTGGACTATGGCTTAAGTGGTAGAGCACTAGCCTTGAGCACAAAAGTTCAAGGACAGCACCCAAGCCCTGAGTCCAAGACTTAGAACTGCCCCCCCCCCCCAAAGTCTGGTATATAGCTGATACTCAGTGACTAATGGAATTAGTATTTGAGCTTAGGAAAAACCTTCAATCTTTTATTACAGTGGCTCGAAACCAAGGTTTTTAACCATTAGAATTATGTGAGGGGGGGGGGAGAATTGTGTGAGGATATTAACTCAGGTCCTGGGTTCTATCACCTGATTTTTTTTCCAGTCCCAGGACTTGAACTCAGGGCCTGGGCATTGTCCCTGAGCTGCTTTTGCTCAAGGCTTAGCACTCTACCACTTGAGCCACAGCACCACTCTGGCCTCTTATGTTTACATGGTACTGAGGAATTGAACCCAGGGCTTCATCCATGCTAGGCAATGTTAAGCCACATTCCCAGCCCTCTCTCAGCTTTTTTGCTAGAGGCTAGCACTCTACCAACTTGAGCCATAGTTCCACTTCTAGATTTTCGGTGGATAAGCCAGCATTGGCTTAGAACCTCGATCCTCTGATATCAGCATCTTGATTAGTTAGGATTACAGGTGTGAGCTACCAGTGTCTGGCCATATGAGGATACTTTATACAACTACACACTTCCTGGCCTCCTCCCAACTTCCACTCTAGAGATTCTTATACAAGATTGTCTAGAATAAGCCTACACCATGTATTTTTTTTTCTTAAAAAAATAAAACAAAAAGCTTTCTCAGAATTTCACAGCTATAACCCCAGGAGCCTGAGTACTTTATAGATACCTTAGCTACAGCAAGAAAGGATATGTTTTTGAGATTCATAGTAGTTCAATAGCCAGCACATTGCTAATGTTTTTGTGTTGGTGACTGTATCAAGCAGTCTTCATGGAAGACTACCAAATGGCTACACAAATTTCCATACCACTACACACATTACAAAAAACCAACCAACCAACCAACCAACAAAAAACTACCATCTTGAACAAACCATCAAATAAGGTTGAAAATTTCAAGTTCCACAAGAAATGTTTCTGAGTGTACACTGTGTAAGAGGTATAGTTCAATAGGCATCCTCCAGATTTCTCCCTCCCTCCTTCCCTTCCTCCCTCGTTCCCCCTCTTTTTCCCTTTCTTCTTCACTCCCTCCCTCCCTTCCTTTCCTCCTTTTCCCTGTGCCCACCCCTCTTCCTCCTCTGTCTCTCTTTGAAAAGGGCTTCAACTCAGGGCCTTCTGCTCTCACTCTGCTCTCTCACTGATGCTCTACCATTTGAGCCATACCTTTACTTTTAGCTTTTTTTCTGGTTAAGTGGAGATAAGACTCTTGAGATTTTTGTCTGCCCTGGGCTGGCCTTGAACTATGATCCTCAGATCTCAACCTCTTGTGTAGCTAGAATTATAGACATGAGCAGACATGAGCTATTGGCATTTGGCCTTTATTTTTTAATAAGAAACTGCATTTCAGCTGGGCAAATAACCATCCCAGTATTAAAAACTGCAATTATAAAACTTTAATTCAGATAATTAAGATCAGGTGGACTAGATTTTAACCAATGGATTCCAAACAGAAATGAAATCACCAACTTTCTGGATAGTGTCCATAACAGAGTGTCCCTAAAAAGAAGGCTTTCCTGTTTTAAGGTTAGTATGGAAGTATCCCAAAGGAAAAAAGGATGCGAGTGCTTAGGTCCTTCTTGGAGTTGTCTCGTTGTAGTACATTATCTCTTGATTATATTGATGAGAAAGAAAATTTTTCATTAAGCCATTGCTATTTCAAGTTTCCCAACATAATCAAATCTTATTTTTATAATTTACAAATCTAAATTCAGAGAAATTGATTTTTAAGAGTAATATTGTGCAAATAAACACATAATAAAATTATCTAAACTATTTCTTTTCTTAGATGATATCAAAGATATTTCTAAAATTCTGTATGAAAAACTGGATTTATAATCATAATCCAATCTAATATTATCTTACCTCATTTCCATCCAGAAAAACTTGATCATCATGGGGTTCAAGTTTGAATTTTTTCTTAGTTTCCTTCTTTTTGGGAGTTCCTGGAGTTTCCTCCTATTAAAACACAGTAGGAAAAATAACCAAGAAAGAAAAAGCAGTATCAACTCATACAGTAAAAATATATATGTCACACATACATTCTCAACTTTGTTATTTAAAATAATCCTAATATGGTTGCACTTGATTAAAAATTTAAATATGCTTATATGCTAGCAGAGATCATATGTGCAGCTTTTTCTTCCCAATCAAGGCTGGCATTTTACCCTTGAGTCATGCCTTTCACTTCTAGCTTTTTCCTGGTTAATTGGAAATAAGTCTCAAAGAGCTGTTTGCCTGGGCTGGCTCCAAAACCAATTCTCAGATCTAGCCTCCTGTTACAGGCATGATCCATTGGCACTCAACATTTTCCCTTTCTTTCTGGGGTGGTGGGTTTGAATCTAGGACCTTATGCCAGGAAGGCATTGTATCACCTGAGCCAAGCTGCCAGCACCATAGTGATTTTTTTTTAAATTTTTCAATTTTACTTGAATTCACCTTTTTGGATTCTTCCTTTTCACCATCTTTTTTTTTCTCTTTTTCCTTTTTTGTCTTTTCTTCCTTTATATTTTCTTTCTTGCTTTTTTTATCTTCTTCTTTTCCACTTTCAGCTTTTCCTTTATCTTTTTCTTTCTTTATGTCCTTTTCATATTTCATTTTCATTACTTTTAGTGCTCGATGGAAAAACTGCTTCTTTAAAAGCCTTGGGGAAAAGAACATAGAATATTACCTATTAATTATATAGAAATAAAGTAGAAAACAAAAATATCAAGAGCCAATTAAAATGAGGAAAGAAAAACATAAATTGGCAACTCATAAGAAGAATTACAACTAGTAAGCTCATGGAAAAGTCAATTCCACTTAGTCAAAAAAAAGTTTACAACTAAATAGGTATAGAAAGTTGCCAAAACTTTCTATAAAACTGGGTGATATTGAATAGAATTTTCAATTTTAACTATTTAATTTAGGTATAAAGGCAATGAAAGGTTTGAGTATATAAAGCATCTCTCTGAATTCATTATATAATCTAACTGTCAAAGGAAAACAGTTTAGGCAACATTAATAGATTAAATAATTCCTTGATTAATCCTACTCATGACTTTTCAGCTATCTTTTTTGTTTTTTCGTATGTGTACTTCATGATTCAGCCTGCATCTATAGTGATCTTTTTTTTTTTGTCGGTGTGGGGCTTGAACTCTGGGTCTTGGTGCTGCCCCTGAGCTCTTCAGCTCAAGGCAAGCGCTCTAGCACTGGAGCCACAGTGCTACTTCTGGTTTTCTGGTGGTTAATTAGAGATAAGGTCAGATAAGTTGATGTTAGGTGAAATGAACCCCAAGATAAGTATTCAAATGTTTTTTCTTTCATGCGATTGTTTCTAACATATTCATAAGATGATTTCTTTGTTGCTTTGTATGTCTCTCCTTCACAGTATAACCCCTGCTTTCACTGTATTTGATGTTGGTATAATTTGTGGAGGGGAAGGGAAAAAACAAATAATTTAAATAGGGATACAGGTGGACTCAATGCAACAATGAGATGTACAAGTCGTTATGTCGAAAATGAACTTTACAACTTTGGTGGGGGGGATGGAGGGATGGGCAGGGGAAACAAAGGAGGAGGCAACAATGCTTGATAAGAAATGTACTCATTATCTTGCCATGTAATTGTAACCCCTCTATATGGTATTTTCACATAAAAAAAAAAAGAGTCTCACAAATATTCCTTGCCTGGGCTGGCTTTGAACCATGATCCTCAGATTTCAGCTTCTTAAGTGGTTAGGATTACAAGTGTGAACCACGGGCGCCTGGCTGTGAACTATTTTTAATTAAGTAATGAGTAATTAAATATACTAAGATGAGATTTCTGTAGTCTGATAAGGATTCTCACAAGACCAATCTAAAAATATGTGTGATTTGGCAAATACTATATAATCCTAGTTTCATTAATTTCACTCAATATATTGTTCTTCCTTTTTAGGTTATTTTTTGTACTTACTCCTGGGCTTTCACAAAGGCACACTCTTCCCTTTACCTGTAGTGTCTTCCTTCCAAAAAGCATTTTTTCCCCACATGGTTCATTGCCTTGTTTCCTTCAGAGCTTTATTCAACTGCAATGTAACCTATTTTAAGACCATAGTCCCACTCCATCCTGTATTACTATCTCACAGCATCTAACTCCTTATTATGTTTTCAACTTCCCCAGACTGTAAACTCCTTAAGAGTAAAGTCCTTCCTTGCTTTACTCCTTTATCTGTTATATTCAGAAGCTCAGATAATCCCAAATTAAATCAACTCTGTTGGTAGTTCCTCTTTGAACCTTATAATCCTACTAATTTTATAAACCACTTTTTTTCAATCTCATGTTGTAGTTTTAGAGTTCCTTTTGATTCCTGCCTTGCTAATGTACAACTACCACAACATAACCTAAAAGCCACGTGTCACTACATACTTGTTTCAGCGTTATCACACTGTTCAGAAATCTAGTTCTTCTTAGTCATTATGCTGTGTCCCCTGGAACATTTCTATTTCACCTGCTTGGCTGGGCTTCCATCTGCTGTCCATTAGTTGGAGTCCATAGCCCCTTCACAAAGCCAATGACTAGTTACCTCATTTGGCCTTATACAAAACATGTAACTGTGCAACTGTTTAAAGTGTCCTCTAAAATGTGTCCATTAATGTCTGTACCTATATATACATATGTGAACAAGCAAAAATTTGAATGAGACTTTAATGACTAATTATGAATAGAATGTAGGACTTAGTTAGTGAGGTGTTTAAATATGATGAGAAACCTTCCTTTGTACTGAATATATAATTTTGTTTGCAAACTTATTTCCAAGGATTCTATAAGGAATATTTATTATTGCTCAATATGAAAGCAAAAATGTTATCTTGTTTTAATTGAGTAAAAAGTATTTTATATTCATTTATATTATAAATACCTGTCCATGTATTAAAAGTATATTTTAAGCAGGTGCTGGTGGCTCACACCTGTAATCCTAGCTACTGAGGAGGCTAAGATATGAAGACTGCAGTTTGTAGCCAGCCCAGGCAGGAAAGTCCATGAGACACCCCAATTAACCACCAAAAAGCTAGAAGCAGAGCTGTGGCTGAAGTGGCAGAGCACTAGGCTTGAGCAAAAAAAGCTCAGGGACAGTGTCAGGCCCTGAATTTAAGCCCCAGGTCCAGCATACACATACATATATACATATGTACATACACACACACGTATACATATAGTTGAAGGGTACATGTTCAAATGGTAATATTACCTGTGATTTAGATTTTTTCCATATCATTTTCTGTATCTTTACTTTCCCTAAATTTAATGGAAAATACTATTCTAAAATAACTTAGTAAGTAAATCACTGAGCCAAGCAGTGGCTCAAGGCTGTGATCTACATGGGAGGTAGGGATCAGATAATGAGGTTAGATACTAGCCTAGGTAATAAAAGGAATTCAGAAACTTTATCTTGACCAATAGGTATGGTGGCACATCTGGCACCCCCAAAATATGGAGTAAACACAATCACTGGGTGTACTAGTATTCTCCTGTTATTTTAGTGGAGAAGGGAAGCACAATAGGAGGATCACAGTGCAGGCCAGCCCAGGCATAAAACAAGACCCTATCTCAAAAAGTAACAATGCACAGAGGGGCCAACAGAGTAAAGTGGTAGGGTGCCTGCCAGGCAAGTGGCCCAGGGGTCCAAACCCTAGTACATCAATAACAAAAAAAAAACCCAGGGCTGGGAAGGTGGCTCAGTGGTAGAGTGCTTGCCTGGCATACATGAGGCCCTGGGTCTGATTCCTCAACACCACATAAAAGGAAGTGGCGCTGTGGCTCAAGTGGTAGGGCGCTAGCCTTGAGCTGAAGAGCTGAGGGACAGCAGATTCAGAAGAGCATAGAACCATCTGCTTTTGTTATTCTTCCTAAATAGCTATGCTACATTCCTGAAAAAGATTATCCACTATTAATCAAATTAGTATGAGAGTAAGTTCACATTTAGGTAGACAAATACCACTTCTCCACTTAACAAGCTAGGTGGTATTAAGTTACTGAATTTTAAGCTGTCTATAAATCATATAGGTCTAGATATCACATAGGGGTTTTTAGGATAAAATGAAAAGCATGCTGAGCATAATTCCTGGCATACATGTACTCAAATAAATGTTAGCCATTGACCTATTCCTTAATGAGTCTTTAGAGAATGTCTTACTTAAACTAATTCTCCACACAGAAAAATGAGACTAACATTAGCCTTTGTAATAAAATCAGGGCCTCTGCTTGTTTGGCTTAAAATATGTGATATAAGACAAACAGCCAATACAAACATTTCTGACATTTTCACATAAATACTCACACTTCCCTATCCTACTGTATGTGTGCTGTGTGTGTGCTGTGCTGTGCCTTTTTCTAAGGATAAATGCTCTTTCTTCTCTTGCTTATTAGGTAATCACCTATTTATACTTTAAAATTTGATTACAACATTTTTCCTGAAGTCCTTTTTGATAGTTTCACCATTAATTACAAATATTCCCAGACAGATTAGAATGTGTTATGAGGAAGGGAACAATTCACAGTAATCATTGTATCCTGGGGCTCGTAATATAATAGATATTTTATAAATGAATGATTTAACAGCATGTGCTGGGCACCGATGGTTCACGCCTGTAATCCTAGATACTCAGGAGGCTGAGATCTGAGGATTGGGAATCAAAGCCAGCCCAAGGCAGAAAAGTCCCCATGAGACTCTTATCTGCAATTAACCACTCAAAAACTGGAAGTGGAGTGGTGGCTCAAGTGGTAGAGTGGTAGCCTTGAGCACAAAGAGGCTCAGGAATAGCACCCAGGCCTTGAATTCAAGCCCTACAACCAACAGGAAAAAAAAAAAAGAGGGGATGAGGGAGAGAGAGTCTGAAGGACATTACTGCATTATGTAGAATATCACAGTGGCTAAGCTTAAGAGTTCCTATGTAAAATTTTCATGCTACTATCCTACATTTTTCTCTTGTGTTTTACTCCATACTCTATTATTTCTACTTAGTTGCTTTTAAAAAAAAACATAGCTGGAAAAGTTCTTTTCGCAGTTTATGGTTGGCAGGAGCCTATGAGGACTGGTCACAATGATGTGAAGTGGTCGCTTCTCTTTCACTTCAGTGCAGAAAGGACACAAGATGACATATACAATGAAAAGTGAGTGTGACTCTAGGACATTCTTTGTGCTGTCATTTGAGCTATTCATATAATAAGGCATTAAGGCTCCTAAAAGATCAGGAGACTTAGACTGATATTGGCTACTCTTCTCTGAGATTTGGGCTCACAGAATGAATACCAAAAATAATAGTACTGACTGGTGACTCAATTTTATTTTTACTCCACCAAATGCATACTCATTTTGTGAAAGGAGATACAGTGGTCAAGAGTATGTAATGCTGCAATGCGAACTGTAGAAGTTACTAGCTATATGACCTTAGACAAGGCTCTTAATGTTTCTGTGTCTCAGTTTCTGTATGTATAAGACCTTTTTTTTTTTTTTTTTGCCAGTCGTGGGGCCCGAACTCTGGGCCTGAACACTGTCCCTCAGCTCTTCAGCTCAAGGCTAGTGCTCTCTTCAGCTCAAGGCTAGTGCTCTACCACTTGAGCCACAGCGCCACTTCCAGCTTTTTTCTGCTTATGTGGTGCTGAGGAATCGAACCCAGGGCCTCATGCATGCAAGGCAAGCACTCTACCACTGAGCCACCTTCCCAGCCCTGTATAAGACCTTTTAATTTTTACAGCGTATAGAAAAGATAAATATTTTGAGGCAGGCAGAGAAGGTTTTTGTTGTTGGTTTTTGGTGTCCATGGAGCTTGAACTCTGGGACTGGGCACTCTCTCAGCTCTTCAGCTTAAGACAAGCACTCTATCACTTGAGCCACAGCACCACTTCTGATTTTCTGGTGGTTAACTGGAGAGCAGTCTCACGAACTTTCCTAGCCTGGATTTGAACCATAATTCACCGATCTCAGTCTCCTGAGTTGCTACAATTACAGGCATGAGCCACCAGCGTCTGGCTATTAGTTTGTACCGTGTAATTAATTCTAATGAGACAAACTGCCGTAAAGAGAAAGTAAATATCAACTGCCCATTATCAGTTCACCCCCACCCCAACAACAATGAAGTTGTCTGTAAAATATCCATTAGTCATCTCTAATATCTGGGTAACTAAGAATTTTATTTTTTTTTTT